CATCCGGTATGACGGGTCGTCATTTTTTTGTGACGAGTCGTTCGATTGGAGTCGAATCGTGTCGATTTGACAACATCTGCAACCCCCTATCGCAGACACTTTCGGAATATATTCTTTTCTCTTGCAAACTGACTTCCGGTATGCGTTTCCACGTCATAAGAGATGGTTTCTCAGAACTCCGACATCACAACACCTCTAAGCCGCGAATCGACTTCCGGTTTGACGATTCGTCAACTGCCTTTGACGGTTCGCAGCGGTTTGGGTGTATTGGACAACCCTCCAAACTACGGTCACGAGAATATAAGAAGTGATCTCCAGATAAAGAAGCCCTTGTCACCGCCCTATGAAATGTATGAAGAACAGGAGGAAGCGCAAATTGGTGTAAGGGTGTAACGGTGTTGGAAACCTAGAAAAGGATATCTCGCTAAAATGGACTCTTTTCGACATAGTAAGTGGCCAGACAACAAGCGATGTTCTGTGGAAGTAAGGTGAGGTATTTTATTGAGAATTCGACTGTATTTTTTTATTCGCAGGAGCGGTCGTAAATATTCTCATACAAACTCTTATAATTTCGCCATGACTCCTATTTCGCAAGATGGTCATCTCACAGCTGGAACTTTGGCCCCGTGTGAGCTGTCACACAAACTTGAGCGATCTCAGATTAATTTTTTAAACTAGATTGAAAATCGCTCCAAACAGTCGGCGTGCTGGGTACCATCGTTCACATTTACGGAGACTAACTAAGTTTCCCTTTTCCGAAAACAGCTACAGTTCAAGTTACAACGTAAACAGTTGGATTGACGTTGGTTAAAAGGCAATTTTACCCTATGACCCTATTTACATGGTCACAATGAAGCCTTCCGATTCAGTTATACTATTGGTTTGAGAGGATTTGATGCTGAACCTCTTCTATTCTTATGGTCCGTTAAGCGGGATGGATTTTGTATCAGTCCCTCACAGATTGGAAATGTCGGAGAGAACCCTGCGAGATATCAACCGAGTTTTCTTGTCCATTTCCCTCTAACAAACTTTAGGTTGTTCCCTGTGTGCGCGCGGTGATCGATATGCTGGTTACCAGGCCTACTCGCCCTTTCGTGTACTCTCAGATCAAACATTCCACAAAAGCAGACTAGAAAAGCGAGTCTTGTGAGGCAAAATCTAAAAAAACGTAGTATCTCGAGCTCTGCCTTTTCGACAGAGCTGCATCTCCTGAGAGGCTCTCGTTTGGCCCTTTTATTTCCAAGATATCAAAACAAACTCTCCTAACTACCTTCCACACATTTCTTATTACTTTAGCTCTGAGAAATTTTATGATAAATCAAGCAGTGTTCACTCGTTGATCTTTTGCTTTCTTCTCCAACCTATGTGCATGACAACGTGTTGATATTGTAAGTAGAAATTACTCAATGTAAGTCTTGGGAGAGAAAGGATTGATGAAGACGAGTGGGAAGACAGGCGCGCGAAAAAATGGTGGAATTGGAGCTTGCGCAAGGCGGTTGTATTTGTTTTGCTTTCCATTTTTGTGCGTCCAATTTTTCTTCAAAACTCGTAAGAAGAGATCTGAATTGCCTTGAGATTCCAACAGTGTTGAAATATCATTGCTCAGCAGGCAATGAGCTTTTTTCCTCAAGTGGTCAACCACAACAACATGATATTGAAGGGCCCTCAAGACAAAGATGACAAAGCGATTAGTCATAGCTACTTTAAAAAAAAAAAAAATCATATTGATTCCATGCACACTCCTGGTCGTGTGCAGTATAAAGCTTACGTAACATTGAACATTACAGGACGAGGTCAAAGGGCTGATTTTTTTGTCGAATGACAAAGTAATTTCCCGCTCACATGACTTTACGAGATCTTTCGAAAATTCAATAAATCAAACAGAGGATGTCTTTTGTCAAACTTCATTGCTATTGTCATTTAATAGGTGTGATACAGATCCCTGCATCGACCAATCAAAAGTGAACCACTTACCAACTAAAGGGAGTGTAGCAGGTTAAAGTTCGCAGCTAAAGTTCTCGAGTAGGCGAGTGGCAACTTCCCGTTTTCAAGGGGATCTTCTACTGCAGCTTTGAAGAACACAGGCTGAAGAAAAGCATTGCTACTCAAAAGCGTCTCAAAAAAAGGTACTTAAAACTGGTTGTTGCCATGTTTAGGGTTATAGGAATGAATACGCTTAGTGTGAACGCAAATTGCTTTGGTGTTCATTAGTTTTTGCTCTAAAGAAAGAAAGGTTGATGAATTTAAATTTTGTCTGACGCGAGGGAATCGTTCTATTCTTAATTTCCAAATTTATTAGAATAACCTCCTTTAAATACTGCAATTATTTTCTGGTGTCTAATTTCTAACACAAGTTTATTACAAACCACTGCGCACAGCTCATTTGTTTGGGCTTAGAGCTAACACTGACTTGGTTACCGTTCAAATCACTGATTTCGAGATGCTTGTTTCGCCATTTGCTTCAATTTAGAAGTTTACTTTTTCAGATTTATAGCTATCCCAATCTCTTTAAAATTTTAAAACTTGAGCAGTTCTAGAAGTTTTATCTTTAAATCGAAAAGCGCAACCAGTTTCTACTTAGCAAACCGAAACCTTGAAGTAGAAGCAGAGATCTTTCAATCGTTACAGTACAGCTGGATGCCATCCCAATTTCTTTAAAATTATAAAACTTGAGCAGTTCTAGAAGTTTTATCTTTAAACTGAAAAGCGCAGCCAGTTTCTGCTTAGCAAACCGAAGCCTTTAAGTAGAGTCAGAGATCTTTCAATCGTTAGAGTACAGCTGGATGCACCCAAAAACCAAGTCACGTTCGTTTTCGGGAGCGATCACACGAATTTTGCTTGGTCGCGTGCCATAGTTGGC